TGTGCAGATCAGGAAGGACATGACTTTCTCATCCTGAACTAACACGAGGAGCAATTTCCTAGAACATACTTCAAGAAGAGAAATTACCGCATCTTAGTGCATCTTCCAGTTGCAATGTGGTAGAGGGTAGAGCAAAATACAAATAAAAAGCAAACGCGGGTTTAGAAAAAGGTAAAAATAGAGAAAAAAAGAAAAGAAGAAGCAGCTGAATTGACCTCTGTCTAATAGCCGTAGGATTACATTACAACTGCTGAGTCACAAAATACTTAACACATCGTGGAGATGTTTTCCAAAAGAATTTAAGAAGGAAGCTTAGTGAGAGCCATATCCTTTAAACATGAAAATGAATATTCAAAGTTTCATATATATTTCAAAAACTCAACTCATCTCGTCAGCCAATAGGTCATCATATTACCTTTTCCCTGAAATTGGATAAAAAATCATATCCAAAGTCTATTTTGTATGCAACCTTAACAGGAATCTCTCCTCTACATTCTGTTATGAACTCGGGATAAGTTGATTTCAAGAGCTGGTTGGCGTTCGGAGATAAATGAACTTTGGATGCTGAATCATTCCCTCGGTTTTCTATACTACTCTCGGACCATACCTTCTCCTGTACTTTCCATTCGGCTCGCTGTATTAACTGTATCGCCAAAGAGACAAAAACGTGGCATTATCAGCCCAACTACTCCAGCAACAACAGGACCTAGATATGAGTGAACCTGATGAATAACATGACATCAAACCGGTATGTATGCCGACCCGTAGTTCCAAGTAAGCAGAGTTTTCATGGGGAAGCGGAATGTTGGATGTGGCTTCAAGAAGCTTGAGTGCTGAGATGCAGATATTTTTGATATGCTTTGTTCCATTTCTTTCTGGTACGCCAGAAACAAGCATATAACAATCACCAATCGTTTCCACCTAGGACTTATCGTTTATAGGATTGATAGGCTGCATAGTACCTTATATACATCAAAACCTTTTACTACAGAATCCATTTTAGTGTACAAATCATTCAGAAGTTGAACAACCTGATTATGCATAAAGCTATATATTCCAGAAAGAGCTTTACCTGCCACGGTGAACATGAAGAAGAGATAGTTGTGAAAGAAACGATATCAGAGAACAAAATAGAAACGGATTCATAAGCTTCTGGAACCACTCCTTTGCCGGCTTTCAAACACTCGGCGACACTTCTGAAAGTATAAACAATAGAGTATTTACTTATAAGGATGTAGCCGGACTTCGGTAGCATTCGATAAAGTAGCATATCACTGTTATTCTTTTCTTT